AGAAGGCTAGAAACTACTACCAAAAGATAGAAACTGCTTTCAAAATACTGAAATGTGCTTGCAGAAGGCTAGAAACTACTACCAAAAGACAGAAACTGTTTCCAAAAGACAAGAACTGACCCCAAAATACTGAATAGTGCTTACAGAAGGCTAGAAACTACTACTAAAAAACAAAAACTGCTTCTAAAATACTGAAAAGTGCCTGCAGAAGTTTAGAAACTGTTACCAAAAGACAGAAACTGTTTCTAAAAGACAAAAACTGCTTCCAAAATACTAAAAAGTGCTTGTGGAAGACTAGGAACTGCTATTAAAGGACAAAAACTGTGTTCAAAATACTGAAAAATGCTTGCAGAAGTCTAGAAACTGTTACCAAAAGACAGAAACTGTTTTCAAAACACAAAAACTGCTTCCAAAATACTAAAAAATGCTTGCAGAAGGCTAGAAACTGCTACCAAAAGACAGAAACTACTTTCAAAAGACAAAAACTGCTACCAAAGTACTGAAAAGTGTTTGCAGAAGACTAGAAACTGCTACCAAAACAGAGAAACTGCTTCCAAAACAAAAAACTGCTTCCAAAATACTGAATTGTGCTTGCAGAAGTCTAGAAACTGTTAGCAAAAGACAGTAACTGCTTCTAAAATACTGAGAAATCGTTGCAGAAGACTAGAAATTGCTACCAAAAGACAGAAACTATTTCCAAAATACTGAAAAGTGCTTGCAGAAGGCTAGAAACTGCTAATAAAAGACAAAAACTGCTTCCAAAGTACTGAAAAGTGCTTGCAGAAGTCTAGAAATTGATACCAAAAGACAGAAACTACTTCCAAAAGACAAAAACTGCTTCCAAAGTACTGAAAAGTGTTTGCAGAAGACTAGAAACTGTAAGCAAAAGACAGTAACTGCTTCTAAAATACTGAGAAATCGTTGCAGAAGACTAGAAATTGCTACCAAAAGACAGAAACTATTTCCAAAATACTGAAAAGTGCTTGCAGAAGGCTAGAAACTGCTAATAAAAGACAAAAACTGCTTCCAAAATACTGAAAA